TGTCGCACAATGTTTTTATTACTCTTGTTGGAGTAACATTGTTTGATTAGCTTTTTCTGCTTCTTCACTATGTACACCATTTGCTGGTCTGCTCTGATATGAGAGTTAATGTGTCCTTGGTTGTTCACAAACAGGCCATAGGAAACTCTGTGTGATTCACATTCGCTCAGTATGGAATTATGCTGAATCAAGAATCGCAGCAGCTCCAGAGCATATTTTGATTGATTGTTGCTCCCTTTGAAGATTGGTAAGAACATTTTGAATATTCTCATCATGCGATCACGATTTGGAAGATGACATGCATCACGAAAATTCAGATAGAGGACTTAGCATAACATCACCACCACAGGCTAATTTGCATATCACGTGACCGGACTTTTCTCTTGTTTGTAAACAAACGCGCATATTCATAATAAGAAGAGACTGGCCTTACGCAAGCTTTTCGGCGCTCTCTTCACAATGTTTTACATTGTTACATATATATTCTTCCACAACAGTAAGGTTTATGACAGTACATTATTTAGATATCAAACATGTTGCGTCGTTTGCTCTCTGTCGGCGTCGATGACAGCACGTGGAGCCGTACAACCTATGTAAACAAAGGATCGCTACGCAAATCGAAATAGTGTTACATGTTTTTGGATATTTTCTCAGTGAAACTAAACCATTCTATCAAACATGTTTAATTAGATGTGTAGACTCGTCAAAAATAAAAGAGTTAAGAAATAGGTTATAAGTAGGTTATATTGAATGGACGGTGCACATCTTTCTGGCATGTGGCAGAGGTACTTTGCTGGCTTGCCGCATGGAACTCTGGGTAGGAGAGTGGTTTAAAAACAAAATGTCGGCTGTCATTCACAACACATCTCGGAGTCACGATATTTCAGTTGTTTATTTTTTTTAGATAGCTAAGGGAATTCTTGGAATTTAAGGAGAGGCAAACTAAGACACGTAAGGTGTTGACAACAGAAATGTACGAACTGCCACTCCTAAAGCTTGGGCCTCCAGTAACTGACTAATGTTCACAATCAGAAATGAACTTTATTCATACGCTTGACCCTGTTATTACGGCGCAATGCACTCGTTGTGTAAGTTGAATTCTGAGATATTATACACAGAGAACTTAGTGAAGCACCCCCTGACATATCTCACGATTGAGAACCACCTGTTAATGTTAGCAATGAATTTTTATGATTTAAGTGTAATAACACATTGAATGTCAACCACAGCAATACTCTTGCGTGAAATTGTTCGCTCAAACGCATCTTAACCCTCATACCCATGCTCAAAACGGAATTCCTTTCACGTGCATAAAAACAAATTAACGAGGCTATAATTTTGTCTCTTCATTTCGAAATGGCAAGACGAAGACTGTGGCAAGCATTGAGGTGGCAAATTGTCGGCATGTATGCATCAGGCATGTGGTTTAAGGCCATTCGTCGACAAATGGGCTACATTCATACCGTTTTGAGCAGGCTCATTAGGAAACATCAAGCAACGGGTGACGTCAAAGGTCGCAGAAGGTCAGGCCAGCCAAGGAAGACAACTCCACGAAAAGACAGAGCACTGGCACGTCTGGTCAGAAGTTCCCGTATGAAGCACCTCTGGCTACCTAACAGACTGACTGACTGACTGAGTTTATTTTTACGCCGCTTTTAGCAATATTCCAGCAATATCACGGCGGGGGACACCAGAAATGGGCTTAACACATTGTGCCCATGTGGGGAATCGAACCCGGGTCTTCGGCGTGACGACCCAACGCTTTAACCACTAGGCTACCCCACCGCCCCGCTACCTAACAGAAGACTACCCAGCAGAACCGCCAGGAACCACCTCAAGGCGTTTGGATACAGGTCAAGGAGGTTCACAAAACGTCCTACTAAAGTTGAATACTTCTCTCCAGGGTTATACGGTCTGATGTACGCCTGTTTGTAGCAGTGTCACCCGAGGCGAGGGAGAAGCATACAATATAATTATCTTACCGCCATGTTAAATGTACAAAATATCATTTTATTTTATTTGGAAGATCGCTACCGACTTTGTGTCATGTAAGCAAAATGGCGTCAGTTTCTCGACTGGAATCTTAAAATCAGTGAAACATATGTGTTTCTCGACTGGAGTAAGTATTTTAAAATCAGTGAAACATATTCTGACAAGCTTAAAACTGCTATAAAATGGTTCATTATGTTTAAGTTGAGTGTGCAAAGGATTCAATGTATAAATAGTTTAAATAAAGCAGTGATAGTCGGTAAATTAATGTGTACATAGTGAACTCAAAAACAGCATGCGTCATATTATGACGTCATACGAGTGTTACCGATACAGGTAACCGATACTTTTCGGCGGAGAGTTCGGCGGTTACCGTGGCAGCGGGTAATATTTAGAAGATAAAGCTAATCTTTTTTCAATTTTGCGGTCCGTTATCGTTGATTTAAGACCGCTAAATGTAATTAAAAACCGAACGCGTCAGCGATAAATTGTTAACAGAGTAGCTTTCTCTTCATTCTAGCACGACTTATAAGCGTTTTAAAACCGAACTGGTTGGCGCCCAAGAACACAAGGCGTGAAGGGGTCTTTTTCCTGGAAATCGCTTGGAATCGTCCCGTTCAGGGACAGGTGTAATAAACAAGATAGACATTTTCAACAACATAAATGCTTTATTTCAGGAACCAGTATGCTTGTACATAATACATAAATATAAAATACAGTTTATACTGTCAGCAAGTACAATTATTTGATTTTTCTCACGTGAATTATTGATCTCCCCTACTGTACGACAATCGACTCGCCCCAATTCAAGCCGTGAACTCGCTAAGTTTAGTCGCAGCTAACTTTATTCACGGAAATAATTGTTGATAACCACCCTACTATTTCCAATTTGGAAAAGACCTGACATGCCACGTTTTATGTGGGATACATGGACAGTGGAAGGGAAGGACTGGGCATTACGGCCGGGACGGAAGCGGTCAGGTTAGGACGTATGGGCCGACCTGTGTTGTCGACGTCATGCCCGCTAGATCTAGACCCGGTTTGAATACTGCCGCTTTTGCGCTGCTGACGAATTTTCCTGCTTCGTAGTTTCTTCACTGGGATTAGGGTGAAGAAATTCTTCTTCAAACTATTCGCTTTTTACTTCAAAAACATCAAAGATGCTGCCGAGATAGAAATTGCCGATTTCCGACATGTATGTTTACAAACAAAAGTGTCAACGAGTTCATTGTATTCATACGCGGTGAATCGGTCACTTTAATTTTCGGTCTTAACTGCCATTTAAGTACGGTTTTGATTAGCTCTCAGCCAATCAGAATCGAGTATCACACAATGTCGTGCTAGAATTTCCAGTTGTCACCCTCCCAGACGGAAACTTGTTAAAGCGTTATTGACTAATGAAATTAAAGTATTTTACATGAAGGTAAGAATGTCAGATGCCCATAAAGGACGACGTTTGAAATGGTGTATAGCACGGCAGACCTGCAGCCTACGGAGGCGAGTGCATTGGAGCGATGAGGGCAGGTTTTTCCTACGTGTTACAGACGGTCGACTGAAGATCTGGACGCACAGAGACACTGCTTAAGTGCTTAGGAACACCAGACCTACTGTACCATACGGAGGAACTTCTGTTATGGTATGGGGGTGGGGGTGGGGGTGGGGTGGGTGTGTTTCTCGTGGCTGCAAGTTGCCATTAGTGACTGTTCAAGGAAATCTCAATGGCCGGGGGTACATCCAGGCATTCTTGATCCTGTTGTAGTGCCTCATTTTTATAACCATCCATCGGCTACACGCCCTGTGTTCATGGATGACAATGCAAGACCGCATCGTCCTAGGGCTGTGAAGGACTTCATTTAAAGTGAAGCCATTATCACTATTCCTTGCTCTTCAATGAGCCCCTTTTCGAGCATATCTAGGACATGATTCGTCATCGTGTGCAACAAAGGGGCCCTCCTGTACGGAACCCGGCCTAGTTGGACGCTGCTTTACACGAGGAATGGCATAGACTGTCCTTTCAGGGGACCGGGAGGCTGACAGGGTTATGAGGGGGAGAGTGCTGGCTGTCACACAGTCACATGGAGGTTACATTCGGTATTGATCTTGAATAAACATTTTGAATGTTCACATTCACCAATAAATTCAACATTCCAGGGTTATACTTGTAGAGGCATGGTTTTGTATGAAACAGACAGACATTGTTTTTTCAAATGAGCAATTATCATCATAAATCATGGATTTCAAATATTTTGTCGTTTTTTATGAGTCAAAGGATTGTACGGGTCAGAAAGACTCATGTTTTTCCATCGTGGTCAAACTCTCAAACTGGCTACTTTATTAAGGTCACATATGCTTAATGAAACCTTAATTTGTTACCATTATTCCCAATGCATCACAATTGCCTCAAGGTAGTGAGTTGGGTTTTATGCCGCCTTGAGAAAGAAAGAAACGCATAGGTGATTTTGAGAATATTGGACCAAGCCCAGGGCCGCTGCATCCGCGCGGCTCACTTGCGTCACCGTCTTGCCACAGCCGTGGAGACGGCACAACGAATCCCTGGTTTTAGAAGAAGAATTTCCGACCAAGCTGTCAGGAATCGATTGCGTGAAGTGGGGATTCGACCAAGAAGGCCAGTTGTCGCCCCTGTTTTGAGAGACTTCCATCGGCGCAATCGTAGAGTCCGGAACTGGAACCTCATAGAAACTGGAGGCGAGTCTGGTTCAGTGATGAATCACGATTTCTTCTTCACCGTCGAGATGGAAGACGGCGTGTTTACCGTCGGAGAAATGAACGTTTTGACTCAATTGCATTCAATAGGTCGACAGATTCGGGGGCGGGGTGTGATATCCAGCACACAAAGATCTGATTAAGTGGTTGTCCAGGGGAATTTGACAGCAAATCGGTTCGTCAGCTGAGTATATTTGCTCTTAAACTAACGCAATAAATTCTTCTAAAAATGGCTTATGCGTTTCTTTTCTTTTTAAGAGTTTGATAAATTCTAATAATTTTCTTACTGTCAGGGTCATATCTGGATATAAACTCCGCATTGACCTCGGGCAGTTCCACAATGCCGTCGCCATCTTTATCCATGTCGGCGACGATGTTGATGACCACCTGCTTCGCCAGGACATGCTGATTGTTGACGTGGGTGCAGGAGTGGTTGTGGTGGTGGCCATGGTCCTGTCTGTGGGCAGAGAATTCACTGATTGGGCTTCCAGTCGAGTGAATACCGGCATTGACGCAGTGTTTGATGCCCATGTGTGAGTGAGTGAGTTAGTGAGTTTTGGCAATAATCTAGCAATATCATGGCGGGGAACACCAGAAATTGGCTTCACAAATTGTACCCATTTGGGGAATCGAACCAGGGTCATTCGTGTGACGAGCGAACGCCTTAACCACTAGACCACCTCACCGCCCATCCATCCATCCATGCCAGTGGGCTGGGAGACTGAGCTTTAGTTATGCCAGTCCTAAACCTTTCCCTCTTTGGAGACACCAATAAACATGGCTGTGATGCTGGCAAACTAACAATCGTGATCAAGATTTGAAACGATTAGCGAATCCTGAAATAGCCATGGAACGCAATTGAGCAACGAATTACAGTAAACATTTATTTAGTGAGTACATTGTTTTGAAAACCCGGGGCATTGCTCCATGATAATGTTATTGTCGATTTATTTTACCTCAAGAGGTCAAATCTTTGAAAAAACACGCATTTTCTGCCAGATAACCAGCTCATATCACTCACCCACAATCTGCGTTTGATTATACCAGCTTAAACCACCGACACATAGAATGTATATGATCAGATATACTAGTTTATACCACCTACACATAGACTGCAATTAATCTGATATACCAGCTTAAACCACCGACACATAGAATGTATATGATCAGATATACTAGTTTATACCACCTACATATAGACTGCAATTAATCTGATATACTAGCTTATACCATTGGCACACAAAAAACTTCATATGATCAGATATACTAGTTTATACCACCTACACATAGACTGCAATTAATCTGATGTACTAGCTTATACCATTGGCACCAAAAAACTTTATATGATCAGATATATTAGTTTATACCATCTACATATAAACCTATCCGATGTAGTCACACACACCACTCACCCGTAAACTGCCACAGATCCGATCAAAACAAGGAAAGCTATCATGATTCTGAAAATCAAATAGGACAGTTTTAGTTCAGACAACAAGAAGTACTGGCACAGATTAATATCATCATTACATCCTCCCTCCCTCTCTCTCTGTGTGTATTGGGGTGGGGGGAGTGTGACAGTGTGACAGCGTCCCTTACATACCTAACAACGAGCGAGTTTAGTTTTACGCCGCATTGAGCAATATTCCAGCAATTTTACGGCGGGGGACACGAGAAATGGGTTTCACACATTGTACCCATATGTGGAATCTTCGGCGACCTGCTTGGCAAAGCCCCTGTGTTAGAGGTTTGACATACCTGATAGATACAGCAACAGACAAGCGTGGATGTCACAAGAAATCAATTTGGTCGCTTAAACTGTTAAAGTCGGCCTCAAATGAATAACTGTGAGGTTTCGACCAGAAAAGATTAAATCCGGAGTACGGACGCCTTGAATACGTCAACTACCTTGGCCAGAGTACTGCTCGTGTTCCACAAGGTTGTCAGGTTGAGAATAACGTGAATCTAAAAACGTTGCTTCTCATATAATCAGTGAAGTGGGTCACGTATATTCTAGGGAGTGTCAGTAAAAATCATTTTCATGCACACAAACATCTGCGCCTTTCGCAGAGCGGTCAGTGCTTCTTCACATCCAGCTGACATCAGTTGTCCAGGATGTCTGGCCGAATTGGTGGTGTTCTTCCGTAACTGCGAAACATAAGTGTCAAGGATTTTTTAAATACGGCGATGACAGATGTTGTAAGTCTCCTTCTTCATTGAAATTGGGGCGGTGGGGTAGCCTAGTGGTTAAAGCGTTTGCTCGTCCGGGTTCGATTCCCCACATGGGTACAATGTGTGAGGCCCATTTCTGGTGTCCCCCGCCGTGATATAGCTGGAATATTGCTAAAAGCGGCGTAAAACCAAACTCACTCATTGAAATGGTAACTTTTCTGAACTTGTCAAAAACCCTCACGAGTCTTCGTAGCAACCGTTGAGAAATTAAACCACAAATGAAACCCGGACAGTGAAACCCAGTGTCTCGCACTTCCATTACCACGTGTTCTGGAACACCAAGACCAAACAAGAATATAGGTCCTGTAGACTAATGGTTAAAGCGTTGGCCCGTCACGCCGAAGATGTGTGAAGCCCATTTCTAGTGTCCCCCGCCGTGGTATTGCTGGAAGATTGCTAAATGGGGTGTAAAACTAAACTCACTCGCTAAGGTCGTGAACTAGCTTCTAAAGGCATAAAAATCGTTTTTAATGAGTCGTGGATGTATGGTGACTGTAATTAAGATAATGAGTGTTCGATGTTCAATTTCAAATAGGTATACTAATTTACATAAAACGTATGATGGAAAATATCTACTCTTAAAATTCGTTACTACTTGTATATGGCTGGAATAATGCCGATGATTCATGGTCAGGCTTGCTGACTTGGTTGACACATGTCATCGTATCTCCTTTGCGTAGATCGATGCTCATGCTGTGATCACTGGATTGTCTGGTCCAGAAGATCTGAGTTTCTTGTGGTTTGGTAGACTGTCAGTTTTACCTGAAGTTTTGGCGATGCATACTATAAAATGATCCCTAAAAGTATGGTCTTTTATTTACAGACCGCCGCCAAACAGTAACAAATATTCTGCGGTGTGAGCTTTGACTACACAATACACAACATGTGAATATTGAAAGCGTTAAAGCCTTGGGAATTGAATAAAATAAATGGGTTTCAATATATTTTTAAGGATGAAGAAAGGTTTGTTCTCGTTCTGCTAAAGAAAAAAAAAGTTAAAGCATCCCAATGGTGAGCAAGTTTAACCTCTCCTTGTTGTAATAGTAAATGTGCCAGTTTTACGGGAGAGACAGAACGTGAGGAAGGCTCAAAGTCGGCTGATTCCCCACATAGTTGAAGCACGTGACAGCAACAGAACAGCTGATTAATGACCAACAACTGGTGATTCAGGACAAGGTCTCTGTTTACGCCAGATTGCCACGATGCGATCACGAATAGATGGTGCATGGCTAACATACCTTATTTCCTTTAATAAGCGCCCGGTCTCTATTATGCGCCGGGGGTAAAGCAGCGGTTAAAGAAATATTTGGTGTCGGCCCGGGAAAGCGAAATTTCAATATTCCCTATTCCCGGTAAAGCAAAAACCAAAGTTGTGCTAGAAGTGCCGCGAAAGCGAATTGCTATGAAAACATCGGAGTACCGTACATCAGATTAGCGCGCGACCCCAATACTCAATCTGTAAGCCTCTTAACGGAGATGAAGTTTCAGTTGTTTCAAGTTTCAGTACGTATGTGACCCTACTTAACTCTAGTTTTATTAATTCATGTAATGAATTATAATCATTGTTAAAAAAATCTTATTGTTCCTTGCCGAATTTGTCATAGTTCCGTCAACTTTTTCAAGGAAAATATCTACTCTTAAAATTCGTCACTACATGTATATGGCTGGAATAATGCCGATGTGACGTAAAGCCCAACTCAACTGCATGATCCTATCAATCATGTTGTATGGTTGCGAGGTGTGGGGACATTCAAATATAGACATTTTAGAAAATGTTCACAGGCTATTCATGAAATCTGTCCTGAAACTACGCAAGAGTACACCATCCTACATGCTCTACGGAGAGACTGGACGAATTTCTATCTCTGTATATATTAAAAAGTGAATAATTTCAGTTTGGTTTAAACTTGCTACTAATGCACTTCAAAATAAAATGTCAGTTATAATTCACAATGTTTTATCACAAATGCTAGAAAATAATATGTATGCTTCAACATGACTTGCTAATGTTAAATGTATTTATTTATTTATTTATTTATTGGATTTCTACCATGACTACGGTATCAGACGACGACTCACATTTCTTTGTTTTTCTTGTGTATTGAGAGTCCCGGGAACGCTAAATTCAGTGTTCACTGTAGCTTGACCGTTCCCGCGAAAGAGACACCTAAATTGAGGAGGTTTGGTGCAGATTTCGCTTTCCCGGGCCATAACCTCTCACTCAGTAAGCGCAATAGCCGCCGGTTCTCTAATAAGCGCCGCGTCTTGAAGTCCGCTGAAAACATATACGTCCGGGCGCTTATTTGAGGAAATACGGTATGTACATGACATATGTGAGTTTGTTTGCTTTGAATGAGAGAAGAGTGAAGAGGACTGAGTGCATCTTGTGTTTGTTATTTAACGCCGCACTCAGCAGCATTCCAGCTGTATGGCGGCGGTCTGTAAATAATAGAGCGTGGACCAGACAATCCAGTGATCAACAGCATGAGCTTCACATGGGAAGACACAAAACCCGGACAAGACAAGTGAATTAGATTAGACATGGGCCATGGCCGAACAAATGACGTTTCTAATTCTAAGTCACGTGATCACAAAAATACAAAATCTTAAATTCAGTTCGTGGAATGTGCAAGGAATGTTATCAAAATTGTCCGACTGTCTTTCCAACTTTTTAGTATGAAGTATGTATGATATACAACTTGTAGATATACACACAATGACATTTAGAAAGTGCAATCTCATATATGTTACACTCCAGATATAAGCTCTTGATTCTTCTGGCTATGTACGCCTCATTCGCCCACCCAGCAGCAACCCGTGCTTGCAAAAGTCAACAAACGGGATCGGGTGGTTTGACTGGCTGACTTGGTTGACACATGGCATTGTATACCTAATACGTAGATCGATGCTCAATGGGTTGTCTGGTCCAGACTTGATTATTTACAGACCGCCGCCATATTGTTATATATTCTGGTCGTGTTGATGTGGTTTGCATCAAGAACTGTTCAATGTTTTCTTTCTTTTGTTTTAGACCACATCCATCAAAAATAAATTGTCAGTTCTCCTGTACATTGTTTCAATTTAACGACAATGTTTGTGTCAAGAGTTGTCATTTCAATGAAGAGAGAGTGAGTGAGTAAGGTTTTACGCCGCTTTTAGCAATATTCCAGCAATATCACGGCGGGGGACACCAGAAATGGGCTTCACTCATTGTACCCATGTGGGGATTCGAACCCAGGTCTTCGGCGTGGCGAGCAAACGCTTTAACCACTAGACTACCCCACCGCCCTGTACATTGTTTCAAATCTACCTGAGAAAACACCGTTGTACCATTTACAATGATATTGACAAGGTTTAATCGATACTCTTTACAACAAGTCTGAAATTCGACAACGTTCTGCTGGGAGATTTCGGGGGTGGGGCTAGTTGGCCGATTGGCCGAAGATTATTACTTGACTCTATTTTCGGCAACACAAACCTCAAAGTGGTGTGACAGCTGTGGAACTCAGTGAACTTCGGAGACTTCACATTGCGAAAGGACAGCGATAAGCATGGCTACTTCCCATGTGTCACAGAGTGACATACTGTGACTAAGTTTGGACTTTATCTTTTCAGATAATAACTTTTGGACTGCTTCACGTTTCGGTTATCTGGAAAAGTTCACAAGTTGTAGCCCACCGTCAAGTGCGCAGTTGTTTCATACGGCAATTTGACATTTATAACCTTAACCGATTGTCATCATTTTCCATTGTTCATCAAGTCCAGAACGGTTCTCGTGTCTCTTTGTCTGTCCATTGTTGTCTATTACCATAGACATGTTTTGTTTGTTTAACGCCGCACTGGGCAATATTCCTGCTATATGGAGTTGAAATAATATTTCGGCCTCTACAAACATCAATACAACCACAATACGACCACAATATTCCCCCAACCCCACCCCAAAGCATTTACTCTGTGGGGTTGGTTGGTATGTTGTTTAACGCCGGACTCACCAATATTCCAGCTATATGGCGGCGGTTTGTAAATAATTGAGTCTGGACCAGACCGTCCATTGAGCATCAATGTATGGATTTGGGAACCGATGACATGTGTCAACCGAGCCAGCGAGCCTGACCACCCAGTCCTCTTAGTCGCCTCTTACGACAAGCCTGGCTGCTGAAGACCAATTCTAACCAGGACCTTCACGTGTCGTTTACATCTGTACTGGTAGGCAGCCAAGACCATACAAATACTGTTATAAGGTAAAAATGCATCCCCAAAACCATGAGAAAATTACATCAGATTCGTATTTAGATTTGCAGTTTTGCTCATGAGTCATAGCGGTTAGGCACGGTATGGAGACGGAAATTTTCCATAGAATGACGTTTAGCCGTAGGCTATGGAAAGAGAGACAGAACACATTTGTTGTGAAAGACAGATTAATCTTATATTGAAACAAACAACAAAGGGGAGAGTGACCGAACGATTCTTACCGGTACTTTTCCAATCGTAATATTCATGAGTGCAAAGTCGGATACAGGCTAACCGAATCAAAACGATTAGTTGAAACATGTGATCAAGGTCAGGCCAGGCTCGAACCATATAAAAAGACAGGTTGGGCACTGAGCGGTAGGTGCGCGCTTTTTAGTGACGGAAGCCAGTCCATCCACTCAGTTGCCCCGTGTGGTACGAACCTGCCCTGTCTGATGTTGAAGTTGTAGTTAGAGAGATGGACTGACACAGAGTAAAACTATGTGAGTATAAACTTGGTGTTGCGTTTATCTTTGAATGTATGTGTGCCAGTACATGAATGTTATGTGGTTAATTTGGAGTCACGGTCGTCCGAACCCTCACTCCTTGACTTAGCATCCTGCAACGGACCAAGCGAGTGGAGCGCCAGAGCTACCATCTCCCCGAACAATGTGGAACGACCATAATTAACAGGTAACTGTGGTAGGGTTTACTAACACCCAAACGCCAGTTACGACAATACCAATATCAAAGAAACCTACAGGTGAGGCCAATTCTTATCGGCCTATTTCGTTTATCTTTCATCTATGGAGGCCATTGTCAAGAACGGTCACTAGCACTACCTAGATAAAAAATAACCCAATAAAATGGAACCAGAGCGGCTTTACCCCCAAATCGCTCTACCGGTTTTGCCGGTCTAAATCAGATATGAAAGCCAGCTGTGCCGCCAATATACAGTTGGCATATCCCCGGAGTTTTCAAAAGCGTTCGATATGGATTGACATAACGGTCTAATTCTAAAAAAATATATATTAGGCCTCTCTGGACAGATGATTAATAATATCCAGGATTTCCCTCCAACCACCAAACACTATAGGACCAATAATAAAGCATACGACTTTGTGGATGACAACTTTTTTTTATTGCATAGAGCAACGTTTCGGTGTAGATTCTTAGCTTCAAAACATTGAATGAAATAAAAGCTGTATGGTGAAATGGATCAGGAAACATTATAATGGCATAAATTATAATTTTATAACACATGTAATGGTAAGAAATATATAATCGTTATATTAATTCATGACAAGACACGTCAAACTGGTACCAGTAGATTTCTAGTTGATGTGTAAAGATTAAGTATTTCTTAGTAACTGAAATAGGATTACAAGAATTTGGAATGAGATGTTTTAATCTGAGATCTATTTGTTAGATAGCAGTTTACTAAAGTAGAACATAAATCAACTTCAAAAGATTGGTCATTCGCAAACTGAAGCAGATTTCACGTATACTGCAGTAAACAGTATGGGGATACATAACGAAACATACCACTAACGTGATAACAGTTCCTTGTTAAACATATGTTATATTTGGGATTACACTTTCTTAGTAAACTACACTTTTGTTGGGTCGAGTCCCATGCGGGATTCGAACCCACACCAACAGAGTCAGCCACCTAATCGCCAGCACTTGTAGTGTAGTAGTAGTAGTAGTAGTAGTTGTTGTTGTAGTAGTAGTAGTAGTAGTAGTTGTTGTTGTTGCAGTAGTAGTAGCCAGCAGTAGTTGTAGTAGTAGTAGTAGTAGTTGTTGTAGTAGTAGTAGTAGTAGTAGTTGCAGTAGTAGTAGTTGTTGCAGTAGTAGTAGTAGTTGTAGTTGCTAGTAGTAGTAGTAGTAGTAGTAGTTGTGTAGTAGTAGTAGTAGAAGTAGTAGTTGTAGTAGTAGTTTGTAGTAGTAGTTGTTGTTGTTGTAGTAGTAGTAGTAGTTGTTGTAGTAGTAGTTGTTGTTGTAGTAGTAACTTTTATCTTGATAATGGCGTGAGAATAAACATGGAAACGCCCCTCTATGCGTCAAGAAGAAATCGGCATCTGTAAAGTCGTACTTTAAGAATGCCAATCAAACAAACATTGAATTACGATTGGTGTTGTGTCCTCAATGCAGGTTTTAACATTTTCTAAACAAATATTAGTTCCTTCGTCGCGGGTGTCACTACAGAGACAAATATTTTATATTAATACACCAAAAGATGAACATCTACATGTTGCTTCAAGCCTTTTAAAAATCGCATTACACAGCAGGCTACTGCAGATTTGAACACTCTTCTCAAACTATTGTCATATAAGTGGTAATAATTCTTGAGTTCAGACTGGCTTGATTATGTTGGAATTTGATGCTTTTCATAAACTAGAATCTCATAGACTATTTCTCTTTGGAACCATATGTGATATGAACTGATTTCTCTAGAAATTATTTTTCGTGATCTAAAATGAATAATGTATAATTAAACATTCAGTCACCTTTTATTGTAAATGACCAAATTAATTAGGTAAACTATGATTTATTTGAGAAGGAATCCATTTGTTTTGTTTTGATTGCCTCAATCCGCTGGTGTGTGGACAACATTACCAATTATCTATCAACAATTTCATGATATTTCGTGAACCCAAACGGCCGATCCCTTGTGACAGGTGCTAATTAGAGAATGCATTCTGCTACAATAAGCCTGTTATGTCCTGTCAAGGGTTCACTTTTATGACATGTAATAAACCCTGTCCAGTCAGTCAGTGGGTCCGGTAAACTTTTATTTAATCCATGCAACTTAGGTGTATGTAAGTTGTACTTACACGATCAGTGACAGGGAAAATATTAACATATTTGCGCTTTTGTGGATAACAAATATAACACACACTTAAAACGGTACTTTGGAAAATGCTAGGGACAAATATAACAGTCAATATCAATTTTGGACACTTAGAACAAGAAGGATGCAGATGAGTGAAGTTATACTATTATATAGAATTGGTTCCTAGTTGATCGCATAGGACGGCGAATAGAAAACACTTACTTTAAACATGATCCCAACTTTCAAAAATATAACTCACGCGTCAGATGCAGTTGCATTAATATAAAGCACAAATGTAAATGGATAATATTAAAATACGGCTTATTCCTGTAGTTCTCATGAATAATGAGTCAATTGCAACATTCATTATGTATATCAATGATAAGAACTCTAACAGAACAAAAGATGTGTGAAATAGTTAAGTTTATACACTTTCCTTGGGAAAAGGAAAAACTGAAAGAAGTACTGGTAAAATCCCTCTTAAATTTACAAAGATTTACAAGCCTTGTAAATATCATCTTTACAATTGTTTGCAAATATGATATTTACAAATTGCAAATGTTTGTAAATCACCATAATTGTTTCTTGTGTATTACAGAAGAAATCGTATTCCTGTACTCACTTATTTATTGTGAATATATATTTCACAAAATCAGTATTAGTGACGGTATGTCTCATAAGTACTTTCAGATCCTGGAGTAACACCCGGTGTCAAATAAACAAAATTCAGCCTCCTCTGAGGAACAGGTGTCTATGGTCGCATTCTTACCTACCGTATAGAGCTTGCTGTATAAACACAGTATGCACCTGTGTGCGTGCGTGTGTGTGTTTGTATCTTCCATTTAAATCAACTTGGGTCAAGACTGCATTCTAAAAACCTCTTAAACCATCCCTTTTCACACTTTGTTGACTTGTCATCAATCCAAAAAACGTGGAAATATTAAAATGAACCTGATTAATTCTCATTCCTTTGAACACATCTTGTGGATATCTTGGAGTAAGTGTTTTCTCATTTCTTTAACTACACAGATCCCTTGGGCCAAGCAGGGCCCTTACATCACCAGGTGTTTAGGCATGCTGTAGATTATTCCTGAAATAACGCACCCTGAAAAACCCTTAACTCATCATTACACTATGCACCGATCCCGTAGCCCAGTAGCGGCCCTTACACCACCAGTGTCTTGCTCTTCATCATCAACAAAGTAGGACTCTCGCGACCAACGCTGACAAATGATACAAGATGGCAATGTACATCAGAATGTTTTATTTGACAGCTGATCTCAAGGGCCGTGAGAATATTTCGACGGTACACAGTTCACGTAGAGCTGAAACATACGAAGAGTATATCAGTGACACAGTGCCTCGGTCAAGCCAGCTTCCAGTGCTTGTTTCTAGCAAAACTATATTTTCAGGAACTATGCGCTACCCCCGTTATAGTAATAACTCCCCAAGTAATAGCTCCCCAAATATACTTTTCCTAGTATTTTCGACATTGGTTTCCTTTTTAATAATTGCATTTAAAGTTCATTTTCGATGTGTTATCACATTAAAGAACCCAAGCACGCGAGGAATTTATGTTGTTACTAATAAAATAATACACAGCGAATATGGTAACTGAGAAATCTCATGTGGATCAGTCGAAAATTATATTAAATATGAAATACACAATGCCATTTTAGAAAGTGGTCAAATGTAACATATGTTATATTTGGCATTACACTTTCTTAATAAAGTACAGATTCTAGTATTTTTTGTGGTTGAGTCCCATCCGGGATTCGAACCCACACCCTCAGATTCAGGCACCTAATCGCAAAGTCAGACGCCTAGACCGCTCAGCCACCGCGGCTTCCACAAAAATGGACTTTGTTTACCCCTCTGATAAGTATTAATTGGCACGGCTCCCAAGGGAGTCCGGATGTGACTCAACCCAAATGGTACTAGAATCTGTACTTTATTAAGAAAGTGTAATCCCAAATATAACATATGGAAAACTATATTGTTACATGACTTACATTGATCATGAAGGACTGGAACTCTGCGCTTGAGACTTGTCCATTTCCTGTAATACAGTAAAGCTTACATGCAACGCAAAACACAACTTTGCAGATTCTGATACCTTTCGGTGTAGACTTATAGTAACAAATAATCAAAAATGCAAATTCAACTTATAAAGTTGAAATATAACGCGATGAAAAAAATCCCGCGAAATCGGAGTTCACTAAACGATTCACTGAAAAAGAAAACCAGCTGGGGTGAAAAACCCAGCTGGGGTGAAAAGAGGTTTCAACAGCTGTGCTGCAGTGCGCACATAGCGCATGCACAGTGAATAGGTTCGAACGTCACTCTGTCTGAGCGCAAAAGCGCAGAGAGAAAGAAATGGTCTAGTCGCCGAACTACTTTCAAGGGCATGTATCTAGTTTACTTGGAAAACAAACATGGCATCCATGGAATTTACCTCAAAGGGTATGTTTAACATGCTTAAATACTTTCCTACGCCATAATGTTAAATAATATATCCTGGTTATAAAAATTCAGGAAACCCAGAAGGACTATGCAATAATTAAAATATACTTGAGTGTCTGGGAAAAGATGATGTTCTGAAATGAAAATTGTTTCAACTAATTTCTTCGCTATATACGAGCATTCTGATTGGCTGGGGGAATATTTCTCTACGAGAGGGGTACGAGTCTTCTTTCAGGTTACGGAAAAGGACGAGTAGTTAAGAATGGACTTGAAGCGGTATGCCTATACACACACAAAGAGCCCTGAGTGTGTCGGAAAAGGAACCAGCCAATGAAAGCCTTCGTTCCACTTAAGTGCACGCCCACCCGCTCTGACTGGGTTCGGTATCCCGGGTGCCTCGTTTCGAGGGCAGTAAACCCAAGTACAAAATATTTCACTTTTGATTTGCGATTGTACGCTTATAATTTTGTTTATTTGTTTTTTCATAATCACCAATGTATATTATATGTAATGAATAAATAATAATTGTGTTTTAATTATGCTTATTTTGTTGGTTCTTTCTAAGCTTTAACCGTTGTCAAGGGTTATAGACAAAGGAGACACATGTTTTTCTTGGTCACTTTATCTATCAGTCTGTGTCAAGGGCAAACCCTTCACATTTGTTGAAACTGTCAACAAGCGTTTCAACGATGGAATATATCTGTTCTGTGTTTTGTTTTGTTGGTACGAATAGAAAACTCCAAATTTAGGCGCTATGAAGGCGACTGATTGGTTAAAGAATCCATGAATCCTTGTTTTAAAATGGGCGGTTAATGTTCCCTCACGGCATTCATATCCAACTCATGTCAAGCTTCAAATAGAGACTAGCCAAACAGAGACGCGCACCCTTCTCGTGGCCATTATTGCAACTTGGTGTCGTCTATGCTAAAAACAGTTGTGACCAACTCGTGTTATTCCGGGACAAGCCGAATAGCGACTCGCGTCCCACTGAAGGCGTTTTTGTGACTAGGTTCCATCTGAACGCAAACAGGCATAGCTGAAAGAATTAGTGATATGTTTCACTTAAGTATTGCACTAGAGTTGATCAGGGAGAATAGAATACGTAGATTATCCCTGGGTTGATGTATTGCATTTATTTACAGCTCTGCTGAACACAATTAACTGTATCTAGGGTAAGTTTTTAGATACAAGACGAATGTACTTTGAAAAATCAGTTATTTCCGACGGTTTAATTCTACTTGAATTCATACGGCTATTCCAAATGCTTTGACGCATTTTCGTGCATAACTATTAACGACACGGATGAAGGAGTCCCTGGCAGCTTACGGAAAGACACGATTGGCAACGAATGCTCACGGGTTAACATCACGTGGCCTACCAGGGACGTATCTTCTGTTCTCGGCTCGATAATTGTATTACCTTTCTTTGCTGGCTCCGCCTTCTCACAGTAGCCAATCAGAAAAGCGGTTATACAATCGAGCTTGCCAATGTTACACAGGCGGCGGCCGCAGGCGCGAAGGTTTGCTCGCTGTGCGAATCAGATTTAGGGAAAACATCATACTGACAAATTGACAGGTCTGAAACCTTCCAAAAATGTATGCAATACTTCCGTCTACCTCTTTCAGTTATCTCTGCAAGAATTGTGTTGCCAAGTTTAATCGGTTAGAAAGTGAGTTGTGATAGAAGCCTTGTGATTGGTAAGCTCAACTTCCGTAGACACCGGATTGGATAAAAAGACAGCGAAGGGACTTAATACAATAATCAGGCCGAGCCTTAGATGCATCCAGGGTACTAGTGGTGATTTACCGAAACGCATAATGTCGTATACCCTTTGAGATTATCGAGGATGATTGCGTTTTAGAGGGGTATGCATTTGTATAAAACGTTCTCTTTAGTTCATATTATTGTAGAATCCTCATCTGCCTCCACTGAACAAATTGTATGAGATTCACGACAAAAACACAACAACAACACCCACACACAAAAACAAACCACCCCCACCCAACCCCAACCCCACCCCACCTTATGAAAACTGAAATGTCATGAAAGATCACCCACCGTCAGCGTCAAGTGTTTTCGCCAAAGCCGCGAGGTCGGCTGCGGTCAGTTTTTGGTCGTCGTTCGTGTCGAAGTTGTGGAAGAGGTAGCCAACGAAGTCGCGATCGTCGTGGTAGCGCTGATGCCACTGTCTCACAAACTCGTTCTCGAGCACCTCGCCGTCCTCTGAACAACATCAGCAGCATTACGTTAAGGGTGCAGTTGTACAAAAGCGATCTTAGCGTAACTCCCATACCTTAACAAAGGCTCATTAGATACCCCAAGATTCACTCGTTTCATAAATATAGTATTACACGGGACATCGTTTAGTATTCTCTATTCACGAGGGGAGATAACTGGTAGCCTGTTGGTTACGTTCTAAACATCCACATTATCCAAAAGTCAAAGATGCAATCAGCATTGGCAAAGTCGAGTGGGGTCTCTGGCCAATATCTGAGGGTTCACGGTACTTCTCCAAGTATATAGGATGAATACAAAACCCCAATCACAAAGCACACAGCACTATGGTATCCGTCAGCCTATGATAAGCCCTGTAGTTACAATTGTTTCTAACACTCATGCCTTTACTAGAATCTGCACTTTCCTAGAATCCTTAGAAAGTGTAATCCCAACTCTAACATGTTACAAGAAAATAGGCTGTCAATGTGGCTACTTTAGAGGGTCACATATGGTAAATGAAACCTTTATTAGTTACCATTATTCCACATGTATCAGGATGGCCTGAAGTGAGTGAGTTGGGTTTTACACCGCTTTTAGCAATCTTCCAGCAATATCACGGCGGGGAGACACCAGGAATGGGCTTCACAAATTGTCCCCATATGGAGACTCGAACCCGGGCCTTCGAAGTGACTAGCGAATGCTTTAACCACGAGACTACCCAACCGCCACTGAAAATTATAGAGGGTTAGACAAACGTATGACAGACAGCTTGTAATAAATATTAATAATTTTCTTACTATCAACGTCATATCTGGAAATAAACTCCGCATTGACCTCGGGCAGTTCCACAATGCCGTCGCCATCTTTATCCATGTCGGCGATGATGTTGACGACCACCTGCTTCTCCGCGATCTGGTGATGGTTGTTGAAGGCGCAGGAGTGGTTGTGGATGTGACCCTGGCCCTGTCTGAGGGCAGAGAATTCACTGACGAGTCTTCCAGTCTTAGAATGTGGGTTTAGTTTTACGCCTATCGCAATATTCCTGCAACATCACGGCGGGGGACACCAGAAATGGGCTTCACACATTGTGCCAATGTGGGGAATCGAACCCGGGTCTTCAGCGTGACGAACGAACGCTTTAACCACTAGGCTACCCTCCAGTCTTGGAGAGCTGAGAGACTGAGCTTTAGTTATGCCAGTCCTAAACCTTTCCATGAATACATAGGTTTGGGAACGTGCTCTTTTTCCTCAAGTGGCAAATTAAAAAACCACACCCACAAACCGCGTTTAAATCTGATATACTAGCTTATACCATTCGCACAAAAACTCCATATGATCAGATATACTAGTATAAACCACCTACACATATACTGCGATTAATCCGATATACTAGCTTATACCACAAAAATTGTACCACCCACACACGAACGTACCTGATATCATCGCTCTGATATACACCACTCACCCGTAAACTGCCACAGATCCGATTAAAACAAGGAAAGCTATCATGGTTCTGAAAATCAAATGGAACAGTTTTAGTTCAGACAACAAGTACTGGCGAATAATAACACCAGTGCACCCTATGGGGGGAGCGTGACGGCGCCCATTATACACGTGTCTTGACAAAGCGAGCGAGTTTAGTTTTACTCCGCTTTTAGCAATATTCCAGCAATATCACGACGGGGGACACCAGAAATGGGCTTCGCACATAGTCCACGTGGGTAATTGAACCCGGGTCTTCGTTATAACGACAGAACGCTAGGCTACACAATCGCCCCTCTAAGAGCAAAAATGAAGAAAATACATGGTTCTCTGTTACCCGATTGCGCGATAAAGGGTTGACTGTACCCATGTAATGAATTGAACCCAGGTCTTCGGCGTGACGAGCGAACGCTTTAACCACTAGGCTACCCACCGCCCTGCTTGACAAAGCACCTTTTATGAAAGGTTTGGCATACCTGTTAGATACGGCAACAGCCAAGCTTGTACGTCACAAAAGGCAATTTTGTCGCATAAACTGTTAAATTCGGCCTTAAATGAATATCTAACCAGGTGAGGTTTCGACAAGAACAGTGTAAATCCGGATTACGAACGCCATGGAAACGTCAGCTACCTTGACCAGAGTACAGCTAGTGTTCCTCAAGGATGTCTGTCTGAGAGTAACTTCAGTCTATAATCGCTGCTTCTCATATAAGCAGTGAACTAGGTCGCACACATTCCAAGGAGTGTTATTTCAAAACAGGAATTTCTATGCACACAAACATCTGCGCCTTTCGCAGACTGCACAGTGTTTCTTTAGATCCAGTTGAAAACAGTTATCTAGACTAATGCTTAGTCTCTGAATATATATAATTTTGATAGTAACAAACAAGCCCATTTAAATTGAAAAGGAGCCCTGGGGAGACCAGAGATTCAGAGAATAAGAACATCTGCATTGGGGCTACACGTGCTGGGGTCATTACCAATTAGAAGTCACATCATACAACCATCAGATAACGCTATACGTGACAGACATATTTATTGGCCCTCGGGTTAAGCCCTGTCCTATCTCCATGATGTCATCAACTAATGTGGGCCAGTCAAGCCCCCCCCCTACTGCCTAACATTTTGCAGTTGGGAAACTTGCAGCCTACAATGTCACTTGGAGACTAGATGACCAAGGTGCAAGATCTATCTGGAACACCAACATAAATATTTATGAATTGGAACTTATCTCCAAATTCAAGTTTCCATTTGTATAATATGCGAAGAGGATATAGATAACCCCCCTTTTTAAACAAACTGTTCAATGGAAGTGAAAAGACCAGCGTCTGTCTTATGCGTGAAGATGTTCTGGGTATTTCTAGATACTAGATCATCCTCACTAGATTTCACCTTGCATGCCTCAATCACATCACGAAGGTAAACAGATTTAATTCCGAGATGCTGTGCCTTTTCAATTTGGTTCTTTATGAGAAGGTGACTAACGGGATCGGGTGGTCAGGCTTGCTGACTTGGTTGACACGTCATCGTATCCCAATTGCGTAGATTGATGCTCATGCTGCTGATCACTGGATTGTCTGGTCCAGACTCGATCATTTACATACCGCCGCCATATATGGAATATTACTGAATGCAGTGTAAACCCAAACTCACTCACTCACTCTTCATGACTGCTACGAGTTAGGATAGAACAGTTACTGTTGCTTCGTTTGTTTTGTGAAACAAATGGTACAATTTCAAATGTCAAAGATTTACCACTCCCAGTTAGGTAACAATACAGCATGTCATTTCCCTTCAGATAAGACATGATACCAATTCGTTGGTTTGGACGTATTTCTTCCATTCGTAGTTTTTCAAGTGCTGCTTTAAATATATGGCTTTTTCGATATCTTCATTTCTGTTCATATTCACTGTGTTTAATTTGCTAGCACACCAAAAAATATATCTGTTTCTGAAACAAATCCTGGCATATCAACAAAGGAGCGATAGTAATGCCTTGATCAAATCAATCAGATGGAACCTGTGCACAAATAGGTCCCTGCCATATGTTGACGCAGAGTTTTACTGTTGAGCAATTAGATCAAGTGAGATACTCAAATAAAATAATCCTTGTTTTAATTACAATTAAAACCTTAACCGCATTAACAATTGGGCTGCTATATGTGGACCCAAGTCAGGCAATGAAACAATACTGTTTACAACATAACATTCAGGTGGAACTTTTCCCCAAGATTTTGCTTGATTTGTCTCTTCAAGGCCAGAAACTGTACACAAGGCCTCCACTATAGCTTCATGTCACCCAATGAAAATGATGACAGAAGAAAATGTGAGGCAAGATTCCAGACCACTGGTGAGGATGTTGGTCTGGCCAGCCATGGTAGTTTACTTTGTAATCCGACCCCCAAAGTGAGTTAGTTTTCTTGCAGATGTTAACAGACCCTGAACCTGAGGAAATCTAGACTTGCTTTATTTAGGGCTTTAGCACTGCAGAGAGGGCTTGGCAGTAGGGGAAATAATGTGGTTCAGGGACTGTGAGACAGACTAACAGTTATCCAGCACGTCTGGTTCTGTTCTTCCGAAACTGGGAAACATAAGTAACCAGGAATTTTAAAATACGGCAATGACAGTTTTGGTATTTTAGTCTCCTTTTTCACTGAGGGTAGCCTAGTGGTGGAGTAGCCTAGTTGTTATAGCGTTCGCTCGTCACGCCGAAGGCCAGGGTTCGATTACCCACACGGGTACAATGCGTGAAGCCAGTTTCTGGTGTCCCCCGTCGGGATGTTTCTGGAATATTGCTAAAAGCGGCGTAAAACCTTACTCACTCACTCTCTCTTCATTGAAATGACAACTCTTGACACAAATATTGTCGTTAAACGTCTCAGATCTCCGTACCAACTGCCGAGAATACCAACGACTTCACCAGTGAAACCCTGTGTCTCTCGTTTCCGTTCATACCACGTTTTCGGGAACAGTATGTGGAGTCAAATCATGGTCCACCAAGACAAGACAATGTTATTGTCGTAAACTAACCCACGAAGGCACAAAGGTCAGGTCTGGAGACAGTGAAGAAGATAATGAATTTCGGTGTTAAGAGATATTTCAAATGGGTAACTTGAATTAGAAGTGTGGTGTGATTCAAAAGGAATTGAAATAATGTTACCAACACATGAACGTGTACATTTAGATCGGATGGCATTGATAAATGATAAATCGTAAGACCAGTTCCCCGTACACATATAACTATTGACCTGGGGACCGGTCCACAAAGCGTTCGTAGATCTGCGTCATTCGTAAGCCTACGACAACTATACAGTTACGATACGTCGATACACTACGAACGCTCTTTGATCTGGACCCAGTCTCTTAATCAATTTCCGCATCATGTCGGGAAGCGCACGTAAAATCTCCAAATCATCTTCTCAATTCTTCATGAAACGGAATACACCAACGAGAAGGTTCTATGTCACGTGATCACGAAAAATAATATCACAATCTTAAATTTTGTTCGTGGAATGTGCAAGTAATGTTATCAAAATTGTCCGACTGTCTTTCCAACATGTTAGTATTAAGTATTTATAATATATAACTTGTAGATATAAGTATAGATACACACAATGACATTTAGAAAGTGCAATCTCATATATAACATATGTTACACTTCAGATATAAGCGAGGGCGGTGGGGTAGCCTAGTGGTTAAAGCGTTCGCTCGTCACGCTGAAGACCCGGGTTCGATCCCCCACATGGGTATAATGTGTGAAGCCCATTTCTGGTGTCCCCTGCCGTGATATTGCTGGAATATTGCTAAAAGCGGCGTAAAACCATACTCACTCACTCACTCACTCACTCAGATATAAGCTCTTGATTTTTCTGGCGATGTATGCCTCATTCGCCTACCCAGTAGCAGAACTGATCTTCAGCAACCCAGGTTCGTCGTAAGAGGCGACTAACGGGTTCGGGTGGTCAGGCGACTAACGGGTTCGGGTGGTCAGGCTCCATAACCTGATTGACACATGCTATCGTATCCCAGTTAGCTCATGCTGTTGATCACTGGATTGTCTGGGTCAGACTCGATTATTTACAGACCGCTGCCATATAGGTGGAATATTGCTGAGTGTGGCGTTATACAACCAACCAACCAACGGCCAGTAGCAGAGTACACGCTTTATAGTGTGGGGGGTGGGGGGGGTGGACGCGTTAGGTTGAAGATGGTACTAGAAGGCTGGGTGGGTGGTGGAGGCGTTAGGTTGTAGATGGTACTAGAAGGCTGGGTGGGTTGTGGAGCTGGGTAGATTGAAGATGGTACTAGAAGGCTGGGTGGGTTGTGGAGCTGGGTAGATTGTAGATGGTACTAGAAAGTTGGGTGGGTTGTGGAGCTGGGTAGATTGAAGATGGTACTAGAAGGCTGGGTGGGTTGTGGAGCTGGGTAGATTGAAGATGGTACTAGAAGGCTGGGTGGGTTGTGGAGCTGGGTAGATTGAAGATGGTACTAGAAGGCTGGGTGGGTTGTGGAGCTGGGTAGATTGAAGATGGTACTAGAAGGCTGGGTGGGTTGTGGAGCTGGGTAGATTGAAGATGGTACTAGAAGGCTGGGTGGGTTGTGGAGCTGGGTAGATTGAAGATGGTACTAGAAGGCTGGGTGGGTTGTGGAGCTTAGATTGAAGATGGTACTAGAAGGCTGGGTGGGTTGTGGAGCTGGGTGGATTGTAGATGGTACTAGAAGGCTGGGTGGGTTGTAAGAGCCGGGTAGATTGTAGATGGCACTAGAAGCCTGGGTGGGTTGTAGAGCCAGGTAGATTGTAGATGGCACTAGAAGCCTGGGTGGGTTGTAGAGCCGGAGCTTGTAGATGGTACTAGAAGGCTTGGGTTGTGGAGCCGGGTAGATTGAGATGGTACTAGAAGGCTGGGTGGGTTGTAGAGCTGGGTAGATGTAGATGGTACTAGAAGCCTGGGTTGTGGAGCTAGGTGATTGAAGATGGCTAGAAGGCTGGGTGGGTTGTGGAGATTAGATTGAGGTACGAAGGCTGGGTGGGTTGTGGAGCTAGATTGAAGATGGTACTGAAGGTGGGTGGGTTGTGGAGCTGGGTAGATTGAAGATGGTACTAGAAGGCTGGGTGGGTTGTGGAGCTTGGTAGATTGAAGATGGTACTAGAAGGCTTGGTGGGTTGTGGAGCTGGATTGTAGATGGTACTCAGAAGGCTGGGTGGGTTGTGGAGCTGGGTAGATTGAAGATGGTACTAGAAGGCTGGGTGGGTTGTGTGGAGCTGGTGGAGTGTAGATGGTACTAGAAGGCTGGGTGGGTTGCAGAGCTGGAGTAGATTGAAGATGGCACTAGAAGGCTGGGTGGGTTGTGGAGCTGGGTAGATTGTAGATGGTACTAGAAGGCTGGGTGGGTTGTAGAGCTGGGTAGACTGTAGATGGTACCCTAGAAAGTTGGGTGGGTTGTGGAGCTAGGCAGATTGGAGATGGTACTAGAGAGCTGGGTGGGTTGTGGAGCTGGGTAGGTATGTAGATGGTACTAGAAGGCTGGGTGGGTTGTGGAGCTGGGTAGATTGAAGATGGTACTAGAAGGCTGGGTGGGTTTGTGGAGCTAGGAAGAAATGGTACTAGAAGGCTGGGTGGGTTGTGAGCTAGGTAGATTGAAGATGGTACTAGAAGGCTGGGGTGGGTTGTGGAGCTGGGTAGATTGAAGATGGTACTAGAAGGCTGGGGGTGGGGGTGGGTTGTGGAGCCTGGTAGAGTGTAGAGTGGC